CTTTTAAAACACTTCTCCCCAAAGATGGTGACAGATAACAGCCCAGTACCAGCACAATGGGAAATCCTGGAAAATGTGAATGATAATTTTATCTTGGACCTGGATAATGGCCCAATGCAGAATCAAATGGATGCCTGCTTGAATGTCCAAGAGAAACCTCTAAACCACTATGAACATCTGATTGACCTCAACATTAGATCAACATAGATCATATGCATCAAAAGAGCATGTGATAGCAGCCGATATTGAAGTTGTCCAAAAGTATGCCCATCTACTCATGTCAAAGAATGGCACTATCATCCTCATAGATCACCCAGATGTGTACTCAATGGCCCCCTCTCTGTTGGTTCCTCCAAATCATAAAATGAATGGTAGTGTGTTCTTTGACTACAGTGGTTCTTTGGATAAGTCAGTCAGCTGATTTCAGATATTCTTTGACTACAGTGGTTCTTTGGATAAGGTATCTGAAATCAGCTGACTGTCTAAAGACAATCGAATTCCAGCCCTTAGGATACTATCTTGGAATATTGTGGGCTGGAGGAACAAAGTGGGTGATGCCGCCTTTTTGAACTTTCTTAAATGTTTTGATATTATCTTACTCCAAGAAACATAGTCCCAGTCTGAAGTACAGCTGGAGAGGTATAGATCCTGTTCAGTATTGGTCTCTAAAACAGGGCTTTGGGGCTGATGCAGAGCAGGACTGTGGTGCTTCATCACTTAGATTTTCCCTCCTGGTCCTCCTTTTGCACATGCAGCCCTTGTTAAACTGCCCGTCTAAGCCTGCTCATGGTCAATATATATCTTCCCCCATGTTATAATAATGCTGATCTTTTAGCCCAAAGGAACAGTTTAAGTGTATATGTTGAGGATCTCAAGCGGAAATTTCCCTTAGAGGAATCTATGATTGTTGGTGACTTTAATGCCAGGATGTTGTTGTTCAGTCGCACAGTCGAGTCCAACTCTTCGTGACCCCATAGACCATGTCACGCCAGGCCTTCCGGTTTGCCAGGATAGGGAAGGATAACCAACTCTTGTATGAGGCTATGGGCTTTGACACTAATGACATTGATGACTGTTTATTCAAACATATTATTCCTACAAGACAATCCAAAGACCCTCATGTTAATGCGATAGGGGTATCTTTAGTTAATTTCTGTACGTTAGCCAGTAGATTAGTTTTAAATGGGTCATTGCCTCATGATATGCATGGTGAAATACACCTTTGGTTCCATCCGGGGTCATAGTGTAATGGATTGTGTTATTGTTTCTACCAATTTGAAAAGATGGATTCTTGATTTTTTTTTTTGTGGGTACACGTGATGATAGTGACCACTTCCTACTGATCACTGTCTTGGTTGGTGGGAATTCACCCTGTCTATCCTCTGTGCCCATTTCTTCCTGTGAAAACATACCTTCCTTTCAGAGAATTAGGTGGTCCCCAAAAATAAAGGTGGGTATTAATCAGTTAATACACTCTGTCGGGGTTAGCAAGTGAATTCAGCAACTAACATACATTAAAAAACACTTTTGAGGTTTTCCATTCTTATAGCAGCTTGGTCACCACTATCAATTGCTCACTTCAGCAGCAATCTATAATCTCCCATAGTTCCTCTAGAAGTAATACTGACCCATGGTTCGATGAAGAATGTCAGAATTAATAGTCTCAGTTACGTGCCACTTATTGTTCTTACCATAATAGTAAAGCTACCAATATACCCTATAGGTATTTTAAATTTAAAAACAACTTCAAGCTACCATAGCATATAAGAAGAGACAGCTAAAATAGAATAAAATAAAAATAAAATGCTCCAAGAACGGAGCACAGCCTCATAGTATCCTATCGCGTCAAAACCGAAAACGGGAAAATCAGAAGTGAGGTACATTCCACTAGGACAATGACTTCTTCCACAGCTTTTGTGGAAGGAGTGCCTTTGACGGAGATCTGCAGAGCTGCCACGTGGTCGTCATCAGACATATTTGTACATCACTACACTTTGGATTTGCAGGTGAGATGTGAGGCTCAAGAGGGCACGGAGGTTCTTCATTAACTGTTCAAGTGAGGAGAGCATGCCCCTACACTTGGTGAGTAGCTTGCTAGAATCCCCATGTGGGATTGCACAGAAGATCGATGATGGGGAAAAAGTTGCACTTACCTGAAAGTTTTGTTCATCAAGTATCTTCTGTGCAGGCACACATACTATCCTTCGTGCCCCGCTGCATGCTCTGGCTTTGGCGGTGCTAGAGGTACTGAGGGTTAGGGGGTGTTACTGCACAGGAGCACATGGTCCCTGGGTGGGAACAAGCTTGTGACTCTGGTACGCAGCGCCCCCAGAGCCTTTTAGCTGTAAAGACCTATCTGATGGCAGGCCTGCTCATGCACAGCCCCCATGTGTGCCTGCACAGAAGATACGCAATGAACAATAGTTACATATAAGTGCAACTTTAGCATAGGTCTCTATTGTCTCATACTTCAGTTCCTAGGATTCCTGAGAGTTTGTTCCTGTTTGGCAGTATTAGTTTTGTCCTTCACCTTTCTTGAAGGACCTAGCCTTGATAAAGAATCTTATTCTATTACTAGTCTTCTGGAAGGTTCTGTTAAACACAGGCGCTCTGCAAGAGGCAACATTGCAAGCTCTCAGATGGAGACATGACCCCAGCTAGGTCCAACAGCCTAGGGCTTTGCAGACTGAACTAGGTGGGCCGAGAAGTACAAAGCCTCCCAACAAAGTCTCCTGGACAATCTTGTAAATAACACACAAGTTCTTTATTACAAGTAATTATGCAGTTTTTCAACATCATTTTGTGAAGAGCATCCATTAACCTTTAGTTTACCATAAAATAAATGTATACAGAATTGTCAGATTTTACAAGGACAATAATCATTTTGTCTTAGAGGACAAATCTTAGTCACCACAATTGGGTTAAACCCCTGAGTTATGCCTTTTGTGTGGGAAGGGAATCTGTCTACACCTAAAAAAGTGACTATAACCTCATCCCCAAATAATTCAGGGGCAGTGCCCTCTTATTTCCCCAATCTGTCTGCTTTCTTTTTGTCTTGTCTGCCTGGCTGCCTCTTTTTCTGTTCATTCCCATTTCCCGTTCCCTCTTTCCCATTCTCTTTCAGTTACAAAAAGTTCAGAAGTGGGAATGCAAGCAATGCACTGGATGCTTCTTCAGAAGGGAAAAAGGGTTTAGCGTAAACCATAAATGCTTATGTCCCAAGGAGGAAGCAGAGAAATAGGCTCTAATTCTGACAGGGAAAGATCATATTATGTAGAAACTCTGATGAAAAGAGGGCTGTGTATCATTACCTGACTTTAGAAAGCTGCAAATCCCATAATTTAAGGGATGCAATTTTTGTGTTCAAACCTTTAGCATAGTGAAAGATCTTAACATTCAGGATAAATATTAATCTTCTTATAGTATAAAATTAATGCCAAAATCCTGTAAAATGTGGAATGGGTGAGCCAGTTTTCAGTATCTTTTGTGTAATCTATATAACGTATTTCCTGTGCTGTTGTAGATGGTCTTTAGAAGTGAACTTAAAAATGAAAATAATTGTTCAGCTCCAGTACTGTGTGAACTGATGGGAAATATGTAGGTCTGGCTTAAATCCCCAGAGTTTTGATTTTCTGCTGAAATTGGTGATTCAGCAAATAGCCTTCAATTTGTAAAAGTAATTTATCTCCTTACTAATATTGCTAAATACGATTAATGACAGGTAAGAGAAAACATAGACTACATAACATTCAATCTTCTTGTTTTGTCTTTTTTTTGTTTATCTCCATGTTTTTGTTTCAGCCATCTTTTTTTTTCTTATCCATCTTCAATTCTAGAACAACCAGATAATGCTAGTGACACTACTGAATCGGGCAACTTTGTCATACCCGAGATTAGTGTCACAAATGTGGCTGGAGAGAGAACCGGGAATGGGGAAAAAAGTAGAGCACCAGCAGAGAGTGATGCTCAGCATATACAGGGTGTACAGGAAACGCCTACAGATCCTAGAATTGACTGCAAAGGCATGCCAGAGATCAGGAGGCAAAAATCTGTAAGAAAAATTATGGAGGATGGAATAAGTTCACCTGGCAGAGTGCAATTTTAAGAGAGCACTTTGTAAGCTACACTAAAAGGTATTGATTGAAAGGGTCACCGCTGCATGTTTGGAGATTGCAGTATATAATAATATATTTGCATGTTACCATTAGAAAAACATACCGCATGATTTTCACATAGAATTTAGAAACAATCTTTGTGGTGAGCAAACTGATATGCCATGTCTATAGCAATTGAGGGTGTTTTTTTTTGCCTTGGGAAACCACACTGAGAGACTTCAAAGTGGCATACAGTGCTAAGCTCCTACTCAATTTGGGTTGGTTTAGAATATTTAATTATACAAATAACTCTTTAAAATACTTTTAAATTTACATTACCCATGTCAGTTCATTTTAGTATCTTCCATTGTGGTTCTTGAAATCTCTGCAATCCTTGAGCTTTTATGCTAGGTTTATGTTAGGTTTCTAGCTTTGTCATATCACTAAAGCTCTGAACTGCAGAATGTGACCTTGCAGTATTTGGGAAATTAGTACAGTTCAGCTTGTTTAAAATGAAGGAGCTTGCAGGTGGTGCCCTCAGCATCCAGCTTCATGATTGGTTTTCTGTACAGGTAGCATTTAGATGCCTTTGCACATCCTTGGGTTCATATCTTTTCTGGCTTTCTGTAATATATCTAACCTCTTTCTAACCTTTTGCATGAATAACAGGAGCATTTTTTACCAAAATCACTGCAAAATGAGATTATAAGCATGCTTCTTGGTTTAAAAAATTTAATTGGTAATGTAAATCATTGTATACAGTTTCTCTCAGTTTGATATAATAGGTAAGTTTATTGTTCTTTAGCTTGCTTTGTGCTGGGAAATGCCAACCTCTAACTGTATAGACTTCATTTCAAAATGCTATTATGGAAGATCATATAGTAACTGCTTTCATTCTCCATGCAGGTAATGAACTGGGAATTCCAGAAGAAGAATTAATAGAAGTATCTGAAGTTGATGAAGGTTTTTACTCTAGGGCTACTTCTGCCACAAGTCATTCTGCTTTATCGAACAGCAGCAGCACTAGTAACAAGCCTCTGACAGGCAAGAGTCAGCGAAGGTCTGGAGGAAGCAAAGTTGGAGTGAAAGAAAAAGAAGCTGTTGGTGAATCCTACAAAGAACACTTGTCTCGTAAACAAAGCCAGAGGGCAATGAGTGAGAATCTAGAGCTTCTGTCTCTAAAGAGACTGACCCTGACTAGCAGCCAGTCCCTTCCTAAGCCAGGCAGCCATAGTTTGGCCAGAACTAGCACAACTCTTTTTAGTAAATCCTTCGAACAAGTCAGTGGTGGTGTGGTCCCAAATAACCATAGCGGTACAGAAGCAAACAGGTTTTCTGTATGTAGCTTGCAAGAGGAGAACTTGATTTTTGGAGCTGAAAGGACAGAACTTCCTGTTCCAAGCAAGCAGCCAAATCAGCAGCGACCACCTAGTATCAGCATAACACTGTCAACAGATTAACAGAACCTCATTAATTTCTCAGTATATAAAAAAGGATTAAGTTGATTTTACTACAATTTATTATGACCTTTTCTAAATATTTCTCTTCATTTATCTAGAAAGATTTCCGTTGGTTGAAAGCTGTGTCTAAACTGCCAAGGTTTAAGAATTGCAGTAAGTTTAAACAGAATAGGGTGAGGACTTGGTTGCCTTCATATTTTAAGGGTGGGGTTTTTTTTGGCATACTTCGTCAGTACTAATTGCTAACAGACATTTCAAAACCTTTGTACATTTAAGATGACCAGGTTGTGTTAACGTGTTTTGTAGGATACACCAGCCCTGATTTTATAAAAGTTCTATAAATACTTCATAGTAATGATGTTACTGTAATACAGGAGTCTATAGGACTCCTTACTCAAGGAATGAAATTCATAATAATGTTACAATTAGGCTTGTACCAGAGAGCTCATACATGACAGACTAATGCTGAGGATAGACCAATGCCATCTTTAATATGGATTGCATTGCTTGTGCAGACTTTAGCCATATGTTTTGAGGAAGATCTTATCATTGGCACAATTAATGTGTCATATCCATGTACGTAGTACATGTTTTCCTTTTTTGCTTTCACTAAACTAGAAAGGGTTCTTTATGTTTATTTTTAAGCAGTTTAAGGTCAAATCAGGGTGGGCGTTAGATAAAAATGATTTTTGCACAGACAAACTAAATATGCTGGGTTGGTTTCATTGAGTCACAGTATTCTTGCTACAAGAATTCAGATATAATATTGAATTGTATGGTTGCCTATAGAGCATTTTTTTAAATGTAGAGGAAGAAATTAGGCTCTGTCACCTTTTAGTTACTAGCCTTATATTGATCAGTATATATATATAACAGGTGAACATTGTGTTCACATGTTGGGTTTCAGATTTGCATGGGAGCTTATCCATTTTACCCTCAATTTCTATAAGCCCCATCTGTGATCTGTACACACTTACAGTGATGTCACACAAATTAATTGTGTGTTGCATTAGACTCTATGCACCTAGGCCCCTATGTAAACATGAGATCAAACACACATGGGGTAGAGCATCATATTCTTGATCCCACATTGTACACTTATTTCAAACACTAGTATAGGGCTACTGATCACACAGTGTCAGTGCTCACAATATAGGTAAATTTCCTGTAAGTAGCAAATTCAGTTTTTGAGCCTATCAACACAGCAAAGAGCCAATACAAGAAACAAAGTTTATTTTTAGAATAATTATATGTTGCCTTTCCATAGCATAAATGCCCATGACTGCTTAGAGCAGTAACAAAAGGCATTATAGTACAATTTAAAGTATTTAAAAAATTAAGCTTTTAAACCAACACTTTAAAACCAGGGTTAAAATTCTAATTGCAAGGCCTTATCAATAAAAGTGTCTTCAACTGAAATAATATAGCAGTGTGTCTGCTTTCCCCCCATCCTGGTAATGATGGTGGTTTTCCAACTAAACCACCTCATATTACAAGCTCACATTAATCTGCATTCTCTTGAAGCCGTGTTTACAATAACTACGTAGAGATGTAGTCAAGAATGTGTTTTGTTGGCTTTAAGTTTAAAGCCGTCAACTGAAAACTTTGAGAATATAACAGCAATTTAGCAGGTAAAAATCCTACACCGTGTGTATTAAAAATTCTACCTAGGATTCCAAGGGATCTCCTTATGTGGATTTCCAGAGAGTATGTTCTCTAACCAAAACTAGTAGCTGTTCTCTAATAGTGTTTGTGTGAAATAGAAACTTTTCTGAAAATATCTGAAAATGATCAGAGGCTAAAATTTTAATATCTATTTGTTTAATCGCTGATATCATTTATTTACTACTTTAAAAATATTAAATGTGCTCTAACAAACTAAAGCACTGACAATTTTCTACATTTTTAGATATTATACAGGCGTTCTATAGGGAGAGAATAACAATATATAGAAATATACAGCCATGGCAAATTAAAGAGATTTAAACGTCCTATAGTTAAATCATCAAAAATGCCATGAGAAACACAGTGAGCTATAGATATTTTTGTGTCAATAAACACATTAAATGTTCTCTTCATACTCTGATAATTTTATTTTGTATGCAGCAATAAACATTAGAACTCTGTGTATCTGCATAAGTTTAAACTAGGCTTGCCACTTGGAAGTAATTTCGCAATAGGATGTATGTAATTTTGTCATTTAGGTATACATCCTGATTGTAAAAAGGGGCTCTGTACATATTAAAAGAGTAAAAAAATCACATATGCATCAGTCCTCTTAATACAAACAGTGTGGCAGATGGACCCAACCCATTTTGATCAAAAATGGCTTTTCATTGGGATAAATTTTAGTAATTCATAAGTGTGGTCTAAGCCCTGCTAAGTGTCAGGAGTATAATCCTACCTATATAGGATATTGATTTTGTATAGTATACAGTTCTCATAAACTTGATTCCACTAAAACCTAACCTTTATGTATTAAATGAGTATTCAAATTTCCCAATATATAAAGTTTGATTAATACAGAGAATTTGGGGTGTTTGAATTTTTAGCATTATGCCAGCTTTTTAAAAAGGCCTGCTGTGGTCCTGATCATGGGGAAAAGATTTGGGATTTTAAACTTCTGAAGCATACGTACTGAGTCTCCAGCATAGGTAAGAGTTTCCTCTTGAGTATTGTGCTGCACATTCTCACAGTTTTACAGTTTAATGCAGAATTCCAAATGAGGTCATAAAGTCTTAGCTCTAGAATGTAATAGCTAACTTTGATTTGGTAAGTTCAGGTTGGGTAGCCATGTTGGTCTGAAGCAGCAGAACAAAGGTTGAGTCAGGTGGCACCTTGTAAGACCAATAAAGTTTTATTCTGGGTATAAATGGTCATTATAGACTTCAACTGACAATTTGGTTTGAAAATGGCTAAATAATACTGGTTATGTGAACATTGCTTTTAAAATGTTTTGGAGGGAATGATGATGCTGTGGTTGGGTGTAGTCTTCTATTAAGTTACAAAACTGCAACATTTTGTTTTGTATTTTTAACTGTAGGTGGTTTGTTCAGTGACTTATTACATTTGTGTGATCCAGTTGAATTAAGTGGAATTAATCAGTGTAAGTGGCCAGTGATTTGTGACATTAGGGAAATAAGATAAATATAGTGTGAATGTTTTTATTAGACTTTGCTGTGGTGATAAATGGGGTTTTATAAAAAAATTACTGAATGTTTGGAGACTACAATTTTGGAAGAATGCTGAAATACTGCAATCTTGTATTGATAACATTGCAGTTTTGACTGAAACAATTTATGAATGTATCTCTATGTAATGGACACACTTTGCTTTCCCATGTTTTGGTTTTAAAATGGTCTCGGCTTATTTGTATTACTTGGTACTATAGCCTTTTGTATTTTGTATAGTTTCATTTCTGAATATTGAAGACTGAAACAGGCTAGATAGGTATTTTTAGTAATCTCAGAGAAGACCCAACAACAGTTGATACTTTTTTCCTTAACAATATGAGAGTTCAAACGAGTGTACTACTTTCTCTCTTGTATTGTAGTTGTGAATACTTATTTTCTGTTTTTGTAACAAAATGCTTGTTTTGTAGACTTCAATAAATGAATTGTTTACCTAGAGTTCACATTTCTAAAATCAGAAGTCAGCATCATTTGTAACCGATACTCCTCTAGAACAAACTAGAGCCTTGGATTTTGAGTTATATCCTGCAACCTAAATTTTGTTATAATTTTTGTAGATGACAGACTTGAGGCTGAGAGAGAGTAGTTTGCCTGAGGTCACAAGTAGTATGTGGCTGCAGGCGAGAACTGACCCATTCATAGCTAGTATGGTACTCTTTATTCAATGTTACGAATAAATTTGTTAAAAGATGCAGATTTACTGTTCGCTGGTGCTATTACTTCTGTACTATTATTTTCTGACTTGTGACAACTTTTACTGTATTTTTTTTTTGCTTTCTCAAAAAGGGTGCCGTTTACTTGGATGTACAGATCTGCTGAGTATGAGAGGTGATTCAAGACATAAATGTGGAGAGCAGGAGAACTTTAGAGACAGCATAATAACTCATTCACCAGCAGAGAGGAGTGCCAGTGAAAGCAAAGCTACAGCTGGCAAATACTGCCTTTCATACTGCTTTGCATTTCAAGGGGAGAGCGGGATGTTCTTGCTGGCTAGCTTTAGAAACTGTAGCTCATTGCCTGGCAAATAGTAAGAAGCAGTAGGAACAGTGGGGGTGGATTTGCTCCTCTACTGACCCATATTTATATTTCAGAATAGTACTCCATACCAACTTTTGCTTCTTCCCCTGTGCTTTAGGCCTGAGTTGCCTAGTAGTTCAGTGCCCCCCCCCCCAGAAGAACTCAGGGTTTTTACAGTAGTTTAGCTGTCAAGTCACAGCTGACCCAGTGGGGTTTTCAAGGAAAGAGATGTTCAGTGGTGGTTTGCCATTGCCTACCTCTGCTGTGTAGTGACCCTGGATGGGTCTCCCACCCAAATACTAACCAGGTCCTACTCTGCTTAGCTTTCAAGATCTGACGAGATTGGGCTATCTTGGGCTATCCAGGTTAGGGCTTTATGGATTTAGAAGAATATAAGTCTGTTTGCAACTGAATTGCCAGTTAATACATTTATTTGCATTTCTCTACTAGTTCAACTCTTGGGGGAGGGCGATGGGGTTTTAAAAAGCCAGTCTCTTGGCTTTTAAAATTTGAAACGTCATGATCTAATACTTCTTGTGGACAATTAAAATGCAAAGAGGTGTAAAGAATGAAAGTAATTTTCTTCTGTAGTCTATATTGTCTATTGTATGTTGCTTACTATGTAATACCTTAATTCATATTGCTATGCTTTATAAGAAAGGGTTGCTTTAAATTTATGGGTCATATACCTTCTCTTTTTTGTAGGTTATTTTTACATTCAGGATTCTCTTCCTTTCAAGTAGATACGGTATTTTGGTTATATTTGTCAGCAGAAGCTGCCATGAGTGTACTGTTTGTGTTCTAATTGCTTTGCATTCCTTTCCCATGCGCTTGTGTGCTTCAGAGCTGTAACGCGTATCTTTCAAGGTTACTGGAGGAGTTGGTACTGTCTACGTTTCATGGGAGCTTCTAGCTTCTCAGCTGCCTGGCCGTTAGTGAATCTGCCAAATGCCCGTGCGCGGGAGCCCCATCTAATTGGGTAGTGCTAATTGGGTAGTGCTATATCCTATTATGCGCATCGGTAACCCGCCATTCCTAACAGTGTTCATGTTACTGCATCTATGGCTTTTCAATAAAAGTAAAACCTTCCTAGAAGCATGTACTATATTGTCTTGCTGTGGATCCTGACATTCTGTTAGGAATGCCATATTGGGGGCCCCTTGGTTGCATATCCATATATATTGTGGGAAGAAGGGAGGGTGCAATTCATCTCACCCAGATGCCGGGAGCACCGCTGGGACCCTTGTTGGGGCAAAAAAAAAAAAAAAACAACCCTTGAGTCCCCGGGAGCGTGCTTGGCCCAAGCGGAACTACTCTCCATCCCTCCTGAGTATCGGGACTTGGCTAGGGTTTTTGGGGAGGAGGCGGCAGATGAGTTGCCGTCACATAGACATTCAGGCTGCAGCATTGAAATCTTGCCGGGGCAGAAACTGCCTAAGGGGCGAATCTACACAATGGGGCCGGCCGAGAAGGATGAGCTCCGAAAGTTCATCGATAAAAACTTGGTGAGGGGTTTCATCAGGCCAGCCTCGTCTCCCTATGCGGCTCCAGTGCTCTTCCAGAAGAAAAAGGATGGTGGGCTGCGACTCTGCACGGATTACTGGGGTCTAAATACAGTGTCTTCCACCAATGACTACCCTATGCCTTTAATTAAAGACTTATTGGCTGAAGCGGCCAAAGGGAAAATCTTTTCTAAGTTGGACCTTCATGGATGCCTACTTCCGAGTGTGCATTAAAGAGGGGGATGAACACAAAACTGCCTTTAACACCCCCTGGGCCAATTTGAATATAGGGTGATGCCATTCGGTCTCCAGGGCGCTCCGGGAGTTTTCATGAACTTGATCAACGAAGAGTTACACAAGCATTTGTTCACAGGGGCCCTGGTCTATTTAGATGATATCTTGCTGTATTCCCCTGATTTACCTTCACATGTGAAATTAGTGAGAGAAGTACTCCAGACGTTACACAAGCACAAACTGTTTGCTAAGTTGTCAAAATGCGAATTCCACCAAACTGCCATTGACTTTCTGGGGTATAGAATTTCAGAACAGGGACTGGAAATGGATCCGGGGAAGGTCCAAGGTGTTTGGGGGTGGGAGGTGCCTCGGACCAGGCAACAATTACAATCCTTCCTCGGATTTGCGAACTTTTATCGTTCCTTTTTTCCCAACTTTGCTCAAATCAGCCTCCCCCTCACGGACCTATTAAAAACGAAAGGAAAGGGTCCAGAAGCCACCCGACCTGGAACTAAGTTTCCATGGACATAGGAATGTCAGGAAGCGTTCATGCGCCTGAAGGCACTGTTCACCTCGGCGCGGGTCCTGGCCCACCCCGATGAATCGAAAAAGTTCATTGTGCAAACTGACGCTTCTGATGTAGCAGTGGGGGGGGCAGATTACAGGAGGGGGAGGATGGACTGTTGCACCCGTTAGCTTACGTGTCAAAAAAGTTTAACGACACGGAGAGACACTGGTCAGTATGGGAAAAGGAAGCGGGGGCAATAAAACTAGTGCTTTCTATGTGGAGGCATTGGCTGGAGGGGGCTAGGGTCCCATTCGAAGTGTGGACAGATCATAACTTAAGAGACTCTCAAAACGCCCCGTTGCCTGAACGCTAAACAGCTTAGGTGGGCGGACTTTTTCTCTAAGTTTCAGTTCACCCTGCACCACTTCCCTGGCTCAGCAAACTCATTGGTGGATGCGCTCTCCCGCCTTCCCGAACACGACAGTCAAAGGGAAGTGATCCTCAATTCGGTGTTCACCCCCTCCCACCTGGGCGGAGCGGTGACGACTAGGAGCAAGGCCCACCTCAACCCACCCCCCTCTACCTTCTCAGCCTCCTGACTCGCCTACGTCACCGGGGGCCCCCCCGCCGGCTTGGGTTGACAAGTAAAACTCCGCCTTCTCGGAGGCAGACCGAGCACTGCTGGAGGGGTTAGGAGATTGCGTGCAACAGGAGAATGGTTGCTGGTATCATGAACATAAACTATACGTTCCCCAGTCGCTCAGGGGGGAAGTGTTGCAGTCAGTCCATGGCTCGAAATTGGCGGGCCACTCTGGCTTCGTGAAATCCCCTCAATTACTGCAGAGACAGTTCTGGTGGCCGCACAAGGATCTATCTTTGTTTATTTCGTCTTGCCAAATTTGCGCCATGAGTAAGCCTCGTCCCGGAAAAGTCCCAGGCCTCTTACAGCCCCTCCCTACCCTGAACCGGCCCTGGGAAGTTATTTCCCTGGATTTTATAACAGATTTGCCGCCCAGCAAATCAATGACTGTGATATGGGTGGTTGTGGATTTATTTTCGAAGCAGGTACACTTCATCCCCTTTGCTTCCCTACCCACGGCTAAAGCCCTTGCCAAGGCGTTCCTGGTACATGTGGTGAGGCTTCACATGCTGCCAAACAAGGTGATCTCCGACTGGGGTACTCAATTTGTATCCCGATTTTTGGGTGAATTGATGAAACTGATGGGGGTGGAAAGGGGTTTGAGTAGCGCTTATCACCCAGAGACTGACAGTCAAACGGAACGGGTGATTCAGACTTTGGAACAGTATCTCCGTTGCTTTACTATCAACAGGATGATTGGAATGATTTATTACCCCTTGCAGAATTTTGCTATAATAACATGTGCCACTCGTCGACGGGCATGTCCCCATTTAAAGCCCTTTATGGCTATGACAGCCCGCCGGTACCCTTCCTGGATGGGAACGTGGACTTGGGACCAGGGGAGGCGGGGTTGTGGTGCAAAAGACTCCAAGACTCTTGGCCCCTTTTGTGCAAAACCTTGGATGTGGCCAAAGAGGCTTACAAATCTCAGGCTGACAAGAGAAGGGTGGAGGGTTGGGCACTACAGCCTGGAGATTCGGTGTATGTGTCTACGAAAAACATTCAAATGTTGCGACCCAGCAGAAAACTTGGGTGGAAATACATTGGGCATTTCAAAGTGCGCAAAGTTATCAATAATGTGGCAGTTGATGTAGAACTCCCTAAGAACTTGAGGAAATTGCATTCTGTGTTTCATTTCAGCCTCCTGAAGAAAGACTCTGGGTCCTGCCCTTGGCGTCCGGAACGTCTGGTACCACCGCCTATTTTGATCGAAGGAGAGGAGCATTATGAGATCTCTAAAATCTTGGATTCTAAAATCCGACATGGCAAACTTTTGTATTTGGTTGAATGGAAAGACTTTGGACCCCAGCACCTCGAGTGGGTGGAAGTAGGGGATATTCGGGCCCCTCAACTGATCCACAAGTTTCACCGGGAGTTCCCGGACAAACCGGGAGACCTCCCGGAATAACCAGGAGATTGCTGAATGGGGGGAAGATTGATTTTCGAGGGGGCAGAATGTCAGTGGAAGCTGCCATGAGTGTACTGTGTGTGTTCTAATTGCAATTGGGTAGTGCTGGGGGGGGGGGGCGCATACGAATTCCCTATATTCTATTATGTGCATAGGTAACCCGCCATTCCTAGCAGTGTTCATGTTACTGCATCTATGGCTTTTCAATAAAACTAAAACCTTCCTAGAAGCGTGTACTATATTGTCCTGCTGTGGATCCTGACAATATTATTCAGGGCATCTTGTGTTCCATGTAAAATCCTCTGGTTCTTACGCAGAGAAGGTGAAGATCACTGAACTAAAAAATATATATTAAAATCAAAACAGGAGAATATGTGCGTACTCTGACTCCTCCTTAGCTTGCAGCCCATTTGTAGTAAATTGTACTTTGAATAATTCCAGAGAAGACCCAACAACAGTTGATACATTTTTCCTTAACAACGTAAGAGTTCATATG